GTGTGCCACAATGCCTACTCCGCAATGCATGATGAGTGTTTATAAGGGCACTAATATGCTGGCATGGCACAACAGTTGTTGATTTTTGGTCTTTGTGGTGGAAGTCACATGTATAATGCGAGGAATAAAAATAAAAAAATAATAGTGACGCTTTGTAATTAAGTTTTAGTTCCCCGTGTCTAATAGGACGCAGATGGTGTAACTAATGGTCACAAGTCCTCGGGTCTGGACGTACATAGCTAAATGCTATTAATTTAGCGTGTTTTAACATACTGTTTAATTTCAATACCCCATGGCATTCCTTATGTTACTTAATGATGTCAACAAGTATGCCGAAGGGCCTAACAAGAGGGTACTTAGTGTGGAAGAATGCGAGGCCATTGCTGGGAGGCTAAAAATGGATCGACAGAGCCTGGAGGCTGCTTTAGTTCACTTCAACCAGATGAGTGTGTGGATGTACATGCCATCAGTTCTACCTGGTGTGGTGTTCATCGACCCTCAGATGCCACTGGATAGTATGAATCGAATAGTTCGGCACAGCTACCGAGTAAGTGGTGGTGCAATTGCTGAGCTGACTGAAAGTGATTGCCGGCGGTGGAAAGAGGGGGTGATAACTAGCAAGATGTTAGAAGGAAATGAATTTTCTGGCTGCTTTGTAAGGGGGCTGTTTGAGGCAGACGATGCTCTGAAACTGTTTATGAAACTGTATATAGTAGCTCCTCTGAGTGGTTCCGAATTTATTATGCCGGCCACACTTCAGACTGTGGCAGAAAAGGATATTGAACGCTATATCCCTGCTTCCAGTGAACATATTGCCCCACTCTTTCTTCACTTTCCAAAATCCCGAATCGCTAACGGTGTCTTCTGCTCCACTCATACGTGCATACGTTCAGAGTATAAATGGACTACATGCTATACGACAAAGCAGGCATAAACGTACCAGTGTGCCTGTTTCGCAATGCTGTCAGGCTACAGCACCCAAATATGGCAATCAAAATAACACTAATTCACGCAATAAAGCATTTTGAGGTTCACCTTACTCACAGTGAAACCAGATGCAAACCTATCCAAAATTTGTCCAGAAGTCCGCCATATGCTTTTAAATGCAGTGGAGAGTGCAGCAACTACATTTCGCTTTAAGGATTCGCAGGCTTCAGTAGCCTTCAAGTGTCCTTGCAGCCTGGATTACATCCATGCAGCCACTCTGAATGAAGCTGCACAAACCTTGTCTGCACACTCACTGGGGAGATCAGCGGACTTCCCCTCACTCCTGGGCAGAAGGTGTGGTTGGGATCACAGACGTGAGTTGTGTGTGTTTTGTGTGTACAATTTAGGCTTCAGATAGTTTTAACATTTTGTGCGTGTTGCAGCCCCCCAGTTAGCCATTGGGATCCCAGTTTCTTCAGCAACCAGTGCCTGTGTAACACACGAGGAGATTGTGAGCAGAAAAGCAAAACACGGCCTGGAGAAGTTACAGAGCTACCTCCTACAAAGAAGGCAAAGATGGAGGGTAAGCCAGCCCTCTGTTGTGTACATGCACAACACACAAATCTTTTTCTCCTCAGGTGATCGGCCCACCCTGCAAGAATAATTCGTCTCAAAGTTCCTCGGCAGGTGGGGGCCAACTACACCACATTTGGAATCCTCCTCCTCAACGATGATTTAGGGAGTTTAACTGAGGCCCTGAAATTGGAGTGTCTTGGGGTGGCTGAAAGTGTGACTCTCAGAATCCTGCAGGAGTGGCTGGAGGGAAAGGGACTCCCTGTGACGTGGCAGACTCTCATTAACACACTCAGAGATATTGAACTCTCCAGTATCGCTGACCATGTCCAGACTGAGAAATTGTGATTCCTGCTAGCTTGTAATCTGCTTCTATCAAGCAATTCGTATATAGTCATCTGCTGTTGCCAGAATCTCTACCTGCCACGTTTTTTTTCCCCCGCCATTCGCCTATGGCTTGAGCACCTTACGTTTTGGTACTTCCAAGGCTAGCTGAATTTTCATAGGTATAGCTATACTAACAGCCTGCAGATGTAGGGTATTATTCTTAGTATTTTATCCAGAAGTTGCCAATCACACAGAAAAACTGGGCACTTGGCAAATACACTGTCTTCTTCAAGAAATTAAAGCTATACTTCAAACCATGGGAATGACACAGTTTGAGCACATGTTAAAAGTGCCAACGGCACTTAATAATACAAGTGGAAAAATCATTTCTTCAAAATGAAAGGGGGATATAGGGATGGCTTGAAGCACCAAAAAGGAAGAAACAAGGGGTCATTACACAGCAAAGTTGCACAAAGCTACATGACACCATCCCTATATCTTTGTTCGATATTAAACTTTGCTTATAAACAATAAAACAAAGATATAGGGATGGTGTCATGTAGCTTTGTGCAACTTTGCTGTGTAATGACCCTTGTTTCTTCCTTTTTGGTGCTTCAAGCCATCCCTATATCCCCCTTTCATTTTGAAGAAATGATTTTTCCACTTGTTTCCACTATTTTTAACTGCTTATGACAACACTGCATTTTTTGTTACAGTCACTCTGATGTTCATGGGTATGTTGTAGATAGGCTACCATAGACAAATTGTAACTGCATTGAAGGTAGTGGCTAATGGGGCTGCTAGTGCCAGAAGCAGGGGCTAGATACCGCATTGTATTGTCTTCAACAAGGATGTAATTAGATTATTTCACATGGTTGTGGTTTCATGAGTAGGCTTTGGTAATCAGGCTACAACCTGGGGGGACAAACAATGAAGGCCCATTTGACTGAGCGCCCCGCAAGGCTCGCGTAACACCGCGCAGACTCTGGCAAGTTGCTCTTCGTGCAAATCAACAGCAACGTAGCCAGTTGGAAATGTGTACACTTACTTACCGAAGGTACTGGAGGCTGAGAGTTCCTCTGCAGGTCTGCCAACTCGCCGGGTAATACGCTCGCACGCGCATTGGACAACGCCCCTGCCTGGCGCATGCGCGCGGCTCACTGATGCTGAGTTAGGTGTTGTTCAGTGTGATCATGGAAGAGCTCCATGATCTACGGTAGTGACTAGCAACAAGAAAGAAACGATCGCTTGATGTCCGTGCACACCTCCACCGAAATTGGAGACGTTCAGTGAAAAAATCAGCGCTTCAACTTGTTCCAGTAAGGAGAAAGCGGGTCTAAAGAAGAAGAAGAAGAATGATGACACGAAAATCGTGAAATCGGCTATGAGTGAATTCTCGCGTGGAGAACTGAAGGTGCGTATGAGGTCTTTGGAAGCATGTATAGGTAGATATGGGCCCGTAGACTATTGCTAGTGTGTTTTGAAGGCCTAGGGGGTGATTCTCACCGAGTTTTCAGTCGTTTTGTACGCAGATCACGTGAGATTTCACCCGTGTCATCCCTATATAGAGAGTCTACCGACTCTCTAATATGCTGCTTCAGCTTCTCATCAAACGCCTCTGAGTAGACTGCTCACTCCTTTAAGAACCTCAGAGCTTTGCCCATTTTTCTTAGCTGGGCATTGAATGGTGCAGCAAATCATTCTCTTGCTGGCTTTTTAGGGGGCAGTGATCTAAATGCAGCAACTGATGCTAGGAGAATGAAAGGCACTGAAGTGTAAACCCTCGGCGACAGGGGCGCAATGCGCATGCGCGTTTTACGTGGAGTAAAAATGGCCGACTACAGCCAGCCGTACAATGGTGGAAGCGCTCTAGCTCTGCAACGGAGCGTTTTCAGAGAAAACCCCACATATTTTCTGACCTTCGTTGCCCGTTCAGTAGGTGGTATCCTTTGTGAGACGAACGAACACTCGAGAAGTGAGATGACGAGTAACAGACAGTCAGACCCAACTACCATAACCCTCGCTGCACATGCGCGCCGAGGGTTAATAAGAAGTAGAATTGCACAGTAAGAATTCGCATATGAGAGTATAATCACAGTTTTGACGCCTATTGTAAAGCTTGCTCATGTCCCACCCATAATATCTGGAGTGGAAAAAATGTTTGTCAGTGAAGGAATTATCCTTTTTTTGCAGCAGCTCTTCGGTTTCGCCACAGTTTCCTGCAGTTGGAATATGCATGGGGGGTAATCACACCGTTTTGACAACTATTTGTAGGTTTGCTCATGCCCCACCCATGATACCTGGAGCAGAAAAAGGTTTGTCAATGAAGGAATTATCTTTTTTGTGTAGCGGCAGCTCTGCGGTGTCAAAACCTCGCCACAGTTTCCTGCCTCCAAGGAGACTCTGATACTGCTATATCACTCTTACAGAAAGCCAGTGAGATCATCGAAACTATTCAGGACAAGAAATTACGACTGTTCAATGTGTTCTTGAGTGGAGCTAACAGTGCTCTCCAGGGGAAACTTGAGGATGCATTTCAGGAACTGAAGCTTGACCCACAAACGATGGAGAAAGGTAATGTTCTATTCACATACAAGGGGCAGTAAAGGAAGGTGTGGGTGGTTTGTTCCCTTAGCTAGAAATAGGCACTATACTAGTGAGAGTTCCTTCAATGTCATATTCAATTTACATATAAATGAAAAGCACTAAAGTGCAAACCCTCGGCGAAGTAGCTTGCAGAGAGTCTGACACGGGCTAGCTACAGTAGTAGATAGCACGCGAGAGTCGATACACGCCATTCGTTGTGACTTCTTGTGTCTATAAGCGGACCCGGTCGAGGTAAGCCTGTGCTAAATATAAGCGCATGCGCATTATCCGCCAGCGACTACCGGCATTAGCCATACAATGCTGGAAGCGCTCTAGCTTTGCAACGGAGCATTTTCAGAGAAAACCCCACAAATTTTCTGACCTTCATTGCCCGTTGGGTAGATGGTATCGTTTCTGGGACGAACAGACGTTCGAGAGGTGAGATGTAGAGTAACAGACACACAGACAGACAGACCCAACTACAGTACCCTCGCGCCGAGGGTAATCACTTGAATTGTAAAAATGGAAGCAAGAATTAGCAGGAGACTTCCAAAACTACAACATTGTCTATAGGTAGGTAGTACTCTGCCTGGATAAGTGATTTAACAAAAGTACAGTTAGCCGTTTTTGTTCTGTGTTTCTCTTTTAGGTCAGACTACAGTAGATTTCTTAGTTGAGCTATGGATTGTTCTACTGTATAGAAAGATGATGAAAATGGGCTTTTGCCATGGATAGGCTGATATATAGTGTCTCTCTGTGTTTCCTCCTATGCATACCTACCTAGACTCTTCCCCTCTCTAATGAGCGAGACCGTATTAAAGGTGTAATCCACTCCACAGCTCACAGTGTTCTCCTATCAGCTCGCATTCTAGTTTGTCTGGAACTGGGACGTGTTTCTGAAAGGATAGCAATTCAAAAGGTTCTCCAATCTCGACCTAGACTGAGAAGGGTAAATTTTATACCTATAATGGAAACTATTAATTTGACTTGCATGTGTTGGAGACAAGGTTCCAATGCACCACACGATATAGTTCTGGCCTCTCTCAAAAACTTAATATGGCTATAATATGTGGTTGATAGAAACGAATTTGCCTCAGTCTAGAAGTGGAAAATACAGAGACAGAAGGACTGATGGCAACTATGATGGTAACCGTTGCCATGCATGCACTATGTTTGGATAGGAACGTAGTGTTATACTTAGGAGGCTTCTTGCTTGTATGATTTTACATGGGTACATGTGAAGTGCTATGTGTAGGGCTGCATCACGTGTATATTAAGAGCTATCCAGTAAGTTAAATTGTGCCGAAAAGCATGATACGTTCCTATATCTGATTTGTGTGTTTTTGCAATTGCTAAAGCGAGCCTATATACTTTGGCGTCTGAATAGCACAGTAATTGGCGACTATGGACTTACTTATCTAAATACTTCAGTGTTTAAATAGTGAAAGTGGTGCATAGCCATGGTATATTCATGGAGATGAGCGAAAAAATTGCTAGCTAGACACTTTATGTTTTTGCAGCTTTTGTCACCGGTGCTGGGCTTGCTAGAAGACGGGGCATCAGTCTCCACCATACCAACCGTGCATCTCCTAGCAACAGTTGTCAATACCTACCTCACCAGAAATCACATCTCCTGGCCTGCGTTTGAAACTGCTCTGAGGGGTTTTCATTGTATGCAGAAAAAGATGCATATGGAGGCTGAAAAATGCCTACAATCTGCTAAACTGCAGTACGAAGAAAGTGTAGGTCCAAAACACTTGCTGACGATCGAAACACAACTCTACTATGCAAGTTGCAAGCAGCTCACCGATGCTCATGGAGCTTTAGAAATATTGGATTGTGCCCAGCAAAGACTAGATCGCATGTCGTACAACAATCACTTTCTCTCAGCTAAGGTGTCTTACCGCAGAGCCCTGCTTTGCCAGCAAGTAGGAAAGGTGGAACAAGAACGAGAATACATAATGGATACTCAAAGGAAGATTCATAGCTATGGTGGTATTGAGCATCCTTGGGCAGCCGACCTCATGTCAAATGCACAAGTTCCCAGTGACCAGAAGAGCCGCCCTGAGACTGGTGACTATGTGGAGATATACTGGAAATTGATAAAAAGAGAGACTGATGAAAGCAAAGTATTTGCAGTGGAGACAGAAGTTGCACCATTGATTCAACAATGGAGACAAAAGGCCGATAAGAACAACTAACTTCAATTGTACTTGTAGCTATCTGAACAATGGAGTGCATACGATTATTTGGTATTGCTGTGTAATAGTATATATTTATGAACATCACACAGGCCATTGATGGTATGCCCAGTGTGGCAGCATAAATGCAGTATATGAGCTGGGTTAGTTAATTAAAAACCACATCACAATGCTGATACTAAGTCATTGAAACCTCTGTTTAAAAGCTTGTCTTGCAGGCAGACCCTCACCTGTAACAGGTAGTGGAGTATTTTTCATGCACCGACTTTCGGTGGCATTGTTGTTTTACTTGTTGTTGAGCTTTTACTCGTGTGTCTATAGTAACTAATCATCTTGTGTGAACTTGTTGCCATTCCAATGTGACACTATGCTGGGGCAATTTGACCAGACTCTTTCCCTTCCTGAGAGAGTCTCTGGCCAGCCACTAACAGAGTCACCAGACCCTCTCTACATGGCTGAAACTAAAGGCCATGCCTATAGCTACCAGCTCTCGAGCACTTTCAAGCAGTATCTCACCAGAAAAAGGTGAGCTAGTGGTAGGCCACACCATTATGTGGGTTTGGACAAAATCCCTGAATCAACCAAAACCTACTAGGCCCGTTACAAGCCCGCGCAGCCTGTAACTATTGGAAAACCAGTAGCTTGAACACAGCCAAGTCTGTTTTTTATAATGAGCTATATGATGTCCACTATTGAACAGGCAATGAACATAGAACAAATCAATGGTGCCACCCAAGCCTACCTGATAGTGTTTTGAAAACCCTGAAAGCGTTGACATACCATGTGTGTCGCCCACTGAAGGAGAGAGACCACCTAACCATATGACTGAATCTTACGGTTGAAGCATGTCCAAACCCAGGCAAATCTCCATAGGGTGTACTGGCACATTTGAGGCATGATCGCCAAGGAGAAGCTAACTATAGCAAGTATTTCAATCAAAGGCTTTGGATGTTGATGGCAATTTTCTAAGGAGACCTTGATTATCTGTTTGTTGCACAGTATATGCTAGGCTAGCAAGTGGTAACGATGGTAATCTCTGCCATGAAAGAAAGCCTGTGACATTTCCCAGCTGCACAGCCAACACGCAAACAATACCAAGCCAGTATGTGCACTATACACTTTCAAATACAGACTGAATTCACTTTTCCAAGGTTTTCTGAAGTCCACTGCTAAGCCACTAGGTGAAATTGTTGACTATGCCATCAGAATTGAGTTCCAAGCAAGAGGTTCACCACATGCACATTGTGTCATATGGGTCAAAGATGCTCCAGAGTTTGGCGTTGATAACAATGATGATGTGTGTGACTTTATTGACCAGTATGTCTCATGTAAGCTGCCTAACGAGGATAGCAAACTGAAAGATTTGGTGTTGCTACTACAAAAGCATAAGCATTCTTCCTATTGCAAGAGAAACAAAACTTGCCGTTTCAGTTTCCCTAAGCCACCTAGCCCAAAAACCCTCATAACCAACTTTGATCCTGAAAATACTGATGTTGAACATTCCCAAACTGTGTTGAAAAAAGTGCAAAAGCTGATATCTGATGGGTAACACTGATCTAAGCCTTACTGAGCTACTTGATAAAGCAGATGTAACTGAAACTGAGTATGTCGATGCATTAGAAACCTCTTGTACTGGAAATATTGTTGTACTCCAGCGTGAACCTCATGAATGTTGCATTAACAACTATAATTCCTCAGTAATGCTAGCATGGCAAGCTAACATGGACATTCAGTTTGTGCTAAATGCATATGCCTGCATCATGTACGTTGCCTCATATATCATGAAAAGTGAGAGATCTATGGGAGAACTACTTAAGCGAGTTGCTGCTGAAGCTAGAACAGATGAGTTGAGAACCCAGTTGAGAAAAGTTGGCTCAGCATTCCTAACACACAGAGAAGTTAGTGCACAAGAAGCTGTCTATAGAATACTGTCAATACCTATGAAACAGTTGAGCAGATCTGTTGTATTTGTTAATACTAACCCCAAAAATGAGAGAATTGCAATTTTGAAAAACAACGACTCACTTAGCCAGCTAAATGATGATGATACCAATGTATTTCAGAAAAGCCTCATTGACCGATACCAGCATAGGCCACAACAGTTGAACTCAATGTGTCTAGCTGAGTTTGCTGCCGCATATGTTGTTAACTATAAGCCAGATGACAGTATGTTTGATGCCATACCAGCTTTAGAAAGTGATACCACATCTACTCAAATCACACTCACTGATAAGTTTGGCAAAATGAACGAGCGAAAGCAACAAGCTGTGATTAGATTCAGAAAGTATAACAAAGAGACTGACGCTAGCAATTGGTATAGAGCAAAACTCATGCTGTACTATCCTTGGTTTGATGAGCAAACAGATTTACTTGGTGGATATCCTACCTATGAAGCCCACTACAGACATGTGTGTGTGATACTGTGCATACCAATGAATCAAAGTACACTAAAGAAGACATATATGGCATTGATGTTGATGAAAATGGTCCACCTGAGCATTTGTGGGACAATATTGCACCATCCACCGAAGAAAATCGATTGCTTTCAATAGCTGAAGGTAGCGAGCAACTAACTGAGGTATCCCAACAAGACTTGCAAGATAACCAAAACATTCTATCACAATCTAGCAGGCATATCAGATTTGAGAGTGCTGCCAATAAGCAAGAAATCCCTCCTGAGCAGTATAGACAGTATATCAGAGAGTTTGAATGACCAGCAAAAATCCATAGTTATGTTCCATCGTGACTGGTGTAAGAAAGCTGTCCTAGCATTGAAAGCAAATAAGCCTGTTGAGCCATACCATGTGTTCCTTAGTGGCCCTGGTGGTGTTGGCAAATCACATGTGATAAAGCTGATCCATTCTGACACACTGAAATTGCTTAAGCTATCAGGAACCTTTGAACCAGATGATGTTGTTGTACTACTAACTGCTCCCACTGGTGTTGCTGCATTTAACATCAATGGCATGACATTGCACTCAGCATTACTATTGGGACGCAGCAAATACAGTGGTTTTCAGCCTCTCAGCCATGACAGATTGAACACATTGCGAACCAGACTATCACGTTTAATGCTGCTCATCATTGACGAAATCAGTATGGTTGGTTCCAATATGTTGTTTGAGATCCACAAAAGATTACAGCAGATAAAAGGTGTATCAGATGATGCTGTATTTGGCGGTGTGAGCATACTAGCTGTTGGAGATCTGTATCAGTTACCACCTGTTTGCCAAACTCCACTGTTTAGCACTGTGAGTGACTGCTATGCCCAGCTATATGGCTCAGGTTCATTGTGGGTTGACCATTTCCTCATGCTTGAACTAACTGAAATAATGAGACAAAGAGGTGACAGTGCATTCTCAGAGCTATTGTGCAGAGTGAGAACCAACAGTTGCACATCTGATGATGTTAAAATTCTGAAATCTCGTGAAATACCAGCAGATACAGCTAACTATCCTACCCAAGCCTTACATGTGTACAGACTAAATGCAGATGTTGACACACGAAACTCACTTATGTTGAACAAACTAGCTCCACAGAGTGCACAGTATACCATTAAAGCCCATGATTCAGTAGCTGGCCAAACATGTCATATCTCTCTTAGCAGTCTATCTGACAAAAGATCTGAAACAGGTGGCCTTCACAGTACACTGAAACTAGCTATTGGTGCTCGTGTGATGCTAACAGCTAATGTTGACGTATCAGATGGTCTTGTGAATGGTGCAAGAGGTGAAGTGGTCCATATTGTTACTAACAATAGCAATGATGTCACTAGCATACTTGTGAAATTTGACAATAACACAGT